TTTGCTGGACATTCTTTGTACAACAATATACAGAGAAATGGATGCTACTCAGCTTTGTGAAAGATTTGCTAGACATTCTTACATCTCTGTATATTTAATGATGAAAGTCTTCCGGATATTTCTAAAAAATCCTGAAAATCTCCGGTTTTCTTCCGGAGAAACACATTTTTTAAAATTATTTATCGGATTTTGGTGTTCCATGCCATAGATAAGCGTTTATGCAATCGCGCGGTTTGTTTACATTCAGCGACAGGGCGTCGCCATTTTGTAGTCTCGCAATGCTTGCTGACGTGTACGAGACCTTGTATGCTTATAATGCAAACTTTGTGTCATGTAGTTAAGGCTCTTCAATTGTCTCGCTCGAAATGAAATATAGCAAGACTTGCATTGCCTACTAAGAAAGTTAGTAGCCGGTAGTCATCGGGTAATAGATCTATAAAGTAAAATTTACTAACTATGTGCATACTGCATATCCTGGCCTGTCCACTTTCCTCACAAAGTCCGATAAAAAGTCACAATTTACATCCTTTTCCTCCAGCCACGACCATTTGAACTTGTTCTTTACCTTTCCTTTTATGCTACGGATATCCAAACAATAAAACTAGTGGACGAATATTTTCGAAAATTCATAAATACTTTGACAAATGTAGTTAGTTTAAGAAACATAAAGCCTATTACTTTTAATAAAGTTAGTTTTTTTTGCATTATGATCTTTAATATCTTGGAAAATTACATTAGGCAATCGTATTCATAAGGAATGATTACAATATTTATATTTGCTACAGATTTGAACTTATTACTTTTAATGTTTTAGTACATTATTTTGAAATCCCTAAAAAATTGTATCCTCCATAAAATGCAAATTTTATCTATTTTTAATTTTTTTAATAATCACGTGTACCTCTTATGGTTTCAAGTAATATACAGACTCGTAAATAATATTTGTAAATAAACCTAAACAATAAATGAGTATTTTTATTTTAACTAGGATTTCATGTTTATATATGTACATAAAAACAGTTTAATTTTGTTTCATAGATATATTTTTATTTCAAATTTATGTTTATGTTTCATTGCAGTCGTACTTTTGTGTTTATTGTGCCGAATAAACCATGGGGTCAGCAGCGTGAACTTTGTACGTTGTCCGTAAACTATCTCCCCCTTTTTGGTGGTCACTCTCATTCAACCGATCGAGGGCGCGTGCGCATTTGAACGTTAATGTAGATATGATAGTAAGAAAGCTTTTCGGTACTTGAATATCATTTCTTTGAACTTTCAAACAAGTTTATTTCAGCATATGTCCGTGTATGTTGTTTCAGAACAGAGATAAAACTAATTGCCACTACTAACAAATGTATGTAACAGTTTATAGTACAGGTGGTTTCAATAAACACCACCTGAGCCTGACCCCTTGTTA